GAGCCTTTTAGGTATTTCTCATAGAATAAAATTGGAGAACTCCTGGAACAACTCATTCTGTAGACTACTGTCACATTCATTTTTCAGAAAAACATTTTATTCTAACATTATCCAGCTCACAACTATTTGATCTAAAATATTCAGTGTCCTGATAGTAAAGTATAGATCTTCAAAATCAACCACAATCCATGTTTTTCCTAGTTTCTCTCTTATATAAGCCCCAGCCATCTTGTAACACTTTCTGTCCCCCAAACAATAAAAGTTTTCTCTTTTGCACAGGTAAATCACCTTATAGATGTCCACCTAGAAATTGAATTAGTTCCATCAAGAAGACTTCATGGCACACACACTTACATTTACTCTCAATTCATAGCCTTGGTATAGTTTTTTTTTTTTAAAGAGCATGAATATAGCCAATTATGTCCTGTTAGGAATTGTGCATGTTATTTGCATAAGCTACTTCCAGAGAAGCTCCTTTTCTTTACAATTATTTGGCCAAAAGACATTATTTGCCACCATTACAGCTTTACTTAGCTGAAAATTAGTGCACACCCTCCTTAACCCCCATTTATATTTTGTGTGTTCAAATTAACTTTGAAAGATAACTGAAAAATGCAGCATTCTAGTAATGAATATCAGTAGAAGCGGAGATTGTACCTAGGTTTTGGGGGGGATGTAGAGATTCGGAATACGTGTGAACTGTCTGTACTTTCTGATCAATTCTGCTGTGAATGCATAACTGCTTTAAAAATAACACGCACTTAAAAGGAAATAAAAACAACTGAGCATGTCCTAGCTTCCACTTAGGTTGTGGAAAGTTGGAAAGAGTATTGCTTCCATCCTAAAATGAGAAGAAGTTTGATGATAACAAAATGCTAATTATTCTTGAATCGATCAGAGAGCTGAGGTTTCAGGAAAACTAAGTAGCATGAACTCTGAGGAAAGATGGTGTCTCTAGTGAGACATGGCACCTGTGCACTGCCTCTCCTGGACCAGAGCATGGGCGGAAAATTGGCCCTCTCTATGAGCTTGTAAGGATTGCCTGCCCAAATTGCTAAAGGCTGCGTCTGAGGTACTGAGGAGTCCTAGATAAATGACTCAACATTTCCCCCTGAGACTACAGACACTGGGCAGGAGGATGTCTGGGGGAGTGGAAAAGAAGGAGCCTTCTTCCTGATGCAGGCAGGGGTGAAGGCAGCCAGAGTGGCTGCAGTCGGGGAGAAGGTACCTCCCTTCTACAAGACTGCCTCCCTCCTGAGACAAAACCTGAGTAGCAGAGGAGAGGCAGCAGACCTTTATCCTACAAAGATGAATACTTAACTGCTAAGGGAAGGGGACAGGAAAAGATAAGTAAAACGTTGTAAACATGGAATTTCTGTGGCCAGGAAATCACTCTGGGCCCAAACCATGAGCAATTTCCTAAGGCTGGAAGCAGTTACAGGGTCACTAAGAAATCCCCAAACCTGAAATGCAGAGACAGAAGATGAATCTAAGATTTAGATGGAAGCAGAACAACAAAGAATGAACCCTCCTCTTCTGCTTCCAGTGGTCATGAATGGAAGAGCAGGTAATCACAGTTTCACAGGAAAGAGGCCAGAGGCGGAAAGCTGAACTCTCTGATGTGTAACTTCACAGGGACAACTTTAAATGGAGGGGGAATGGCAACACTGGAAAAAATCCTGCAAAAACTGAACTGAACAAAACCCTAAACACAGGTAATACTAGAGGAACTTGGATTTGTTGGTACGCTAATATTCACAGGAACAATGCATTTAAGTCAGCTCAACCCTTGATTGCACTGATTCTCACATCCTACCTGCCTCCTCATCCCCTTCCCACACACAGCACCAGACTAAGGGCAGACAAAAGAGACAAGCTCACTTCAAGGCATATTGTTCTTTTCTTGAACATCTGTTATCCTACATACAGAATGTGTGGAACCCACCAACAGTAGCAATCAAAGGGAAGAGCCAAAACACAACAAAAACAAGAACAATGTGAGGAGTAAAGAAATGAACAAATCCAGGAGCAAATGTGACTTGCATGTAGAAGCTATCATTCAGGAATTTAAAATAACTCTCATGTCTAGGGTTGTAGAATAATTTTGAATAATATAACATATGTAAAATTCTAAAATTCCAGATAGAGAAATGGAGAAAGCAGGACAAAAGGACTATGTGAGGAGCTAGTCACTGAGAAAATTAGTGAAAGAAATCTGTGCACAAATCCTCAGCTGGATATGATAACTGAAAATAAGCCAACAAAATTTGGGTGCTTGGTATTCAAGCTGTCAAAAAGCCAAAAATAAAGTGAAAATCTTGAAGGCAGCTTGAAGGGAAAAAAGAAAAGATACATCATATACAAAAAAAAAAGATCCAAACCAAAGCGGAGTTCTTGTCAGAAACTAAGCTAGCCACCAAGAAACATGGAATTACATCATTTAAGCACCGAGACAGGGGTGTAACTAACAAGTAGAAGTAATGTATACAGAGAAAATGCACTTTGAGAACAAAGAAGAAGTGAATTCTCTTCAAACAAACAAGAACTTATTGAATAGATTTTCAGCAGAACTTGAGCAAATTCTTCAGGCAAAGGAAAATAATGCTAGACAGAAAAATGGCTCCACACACACTATGAAAAGATGGAGGGGAGGAAGGAAGGGAGGCGGAAAGGAAGGAAAGGAAGAAGGGATCAATCTGAAAGTGGCAAAATATAACCTTAACATAAACACATTTTTAAATGTTTAACAAACTACAAGATATCTGATTAATACAAAAATAGTTGCAATTATTTGTATATTTAGTTTATGAATGTTAAAAAACTTCAACAATAATACTACAAAATACAGAGTTGCAAACAGTAATGTGCTCCTGAAGGTTTCTGTGCCACAACATGGAGTAATAATTATTTAGATTAGAATTCATTAAAAATGTATATTTCTGGAGTGATCATAGTCCCAAATGACACAATTCCTATTCAGAAATCCCAAAAAATCTAGATCTCTAAAGTTTATAATCCTAGAAACCACAACTCCAAAAGTTTAAAATCCTGAATATTGAATTCTGAAAGTCAAAATTCTTAAAACTTCCATTTCCACATATAGAAAAGGTTACATTAGAGGCCTAGAAAGTCAAATTTTGGGGAAAGGGCTAGGACAGAGTTGGTTGTATGGAGGATGTCGTATTGTGTTAAGTGGAACAAACACCTAGAAACTTGGTAAAGCACTGTGTTGGCTGTGATTGTGTGGGTGTTTCCAGAGGATATTTTTGTGTGAGCCTGAGTGGCCCAGAGGGGAATGATCTGCTGGTAATGTGTATTGATACAAGTGGGTTGGCCATGTGATACAGCAATGACAGAAATTTCAGCTTAAAAATGCATCATTTGGGTCTGGCATTGTCTCATAGCCAGCAAAGCTGCCTCCTGTGGCACCGGCATCTCACGTGGATGCTGGCTGGTATCCTGGCTGTTCCACTTCTGATCCAGGTCCCTGCTAATGTGCCTCGGAAAGCAGTGGGAGATGGCCCAAGTCCTTGGGCTTCTGCACCCACATGGGAGATCCAGAAGAAGCTCCCGGCTCCTGGCTCCTGGTTTCGGATAAGCCCAATTCCTGCCATTGCAACCATTTGGGGATTGAACCAGTGGATGGGAGATCAGTATCTCTCTCCCACCTTCACTCCATTTCTGTAACATTGCATCTCAAATAAATAAATGGGGTATCTATTCAAATATGTTAACCAGTTTACATCGGGGTTTTTTATTTTCTTACCTCTGAGTTCTGAGGCTTTGTTAAATATTCTAGGTAGAAAATTTTATATTTGTCTTATGCAAACATCTCCCCCCAATAAGTGGCTTGTGTTTTCATTTTCTTAAATATTGTATTTCAAGAAGCAGATTTTTTAATTTTGAGGAAACTAAATTTATCAATTTTTTTCCATTTATAGAACATATTTTAGTGTCTATTCTTGAATTATTATATTTTTATTTGAAAGGAAGAGTTGCAGCAAAGGCGGGGGAGAAATCAATCTTCCATCAGCTGATTAACTCCCCAAATGGTTACAATGGCCAGGAATGGGCCAAGCTGAAGCCAGGAGCCCTTCTGGGTCTCCCATGTGGGTGCAGGATCCAAAGGACTTGGGCCATCTTCCACTCCTTTCCGAGGCACATTAGCAGGGACCTGGATCAGAAGTGGAGCAGCTATGACTTGAACTGGAGCACATATGGGATTGGGCCATTGCAGGTAGCGGCTTAACCTGTTACACCACAGCATTGGCCCCTTATCTGGAAAATCTTTGCCAAACCCAAGATCGCAATGATTTTTCATCAGATTTTAAGTCTCTGCTCCATTAGCTTAAGTCTTTCATTCATTGTATATAAATCTCTGATCCATTATATTTAAGTCTATAACTTATTACATTTGATTTTTTAAACTTTTATTTAATAAATATAAATTTCCAAAGCACAGCTTTTGGATTACAGTGGCCTCTTCACCCCATAATTTCCCTCCCACCTGCAGCCCTCCCATCTCCCGCTCCCTCTCCCATCCCATTCACATCAAGATTAATTTTAAATTATCTCTATATACAGAAGATCAATTTAGTATATATTAAATAAAGATTTCAACAGTTTGCACCCACACAGAAACACAAAGTGTAAAGTACTGTTTGAGTACTAGTTATACCATTAATTCACATTGTACAACACCTTAAGGACAGAGATCCTACATGGGGAGTAACTGCACAATGATTCCTGTTGTTGACTTAACAATTGACACTCTTGTTTATGGCATCGGTAATCACCCAAGGCTCTTGTCATGAATTTCCAAGGCTTTGGAAGCCTCTTGAATTTGCCAACTCTGATCTTATTTAGACAAAGCCATAGTCAAAGTGGAAGTTCTCTCCTCCCTTCAGAGAAAGTTACCTCCTTCTTTGATGGCCTGTTCTTTCCACTGGGATCTCACTCGCAGAGATCTTTCATTTAGTTGTTGTGGTGTTTTTTTGTTCTTTTTTTTTGTTTTTGTGGTCAGAGTGTCTTGGCTTTCCATGCCTGAAATACTCTCATGGAAAATTCAGCCAGATCTGAATGCCTTAAAGGCTGATTCTGAGGCCAGAGTGCTGTTTAGGACATCTGGCATTCTATGAGTCTGCTGTGTATCCTGCTTCCCATGTTGGATCGTTCTCTCTTTTTTAATTCTATCAGTTAGTATTAGCAGACACTAGTCTTGTTTTTGTGATCCCTTTGACTCTTAATCCTATCATTATGATCAATTGTGAACTGAAACTGATGACTTTGGTTAGTGAGATGTCATTGGTACATGCCACCTTGATGAGATTGAATTGGAATCCCCTAGCTCATTTCTAACTCTCCCATTTGGGGCAAGTCCAATTGAGCATGTCATTTGATTCTAAGACCCATTTTAATTTTTGAATATGGTTCAAGGTCTGGATTCAAAATTCCTTTTTGCTTATGGACATCTAATTGTTCGTTACCATTTATTGGAAAGTCAGTCTTGGGTTGGTCATTGTGACTTGCAAAAGGAGTCATCCTATATGGGCACCATATAGATCCCAGCTGCTCCACTTGCCATCCAACTCTCTAAGAGGGCCCCTAGGGAAAGCATAGAGGATGACCCAAATATTTAGACCCCTACAACTATGTGGGAGACCCAGGTGAAGCTCCTGGCTCCTGGATTTGGCCCGGCCCAGCTCTAGCCATTGTGGCTCTTTGGGGAGTAAAGAGAGAAAGGGAAACTCAGACCCCTTCAAAGGAGTGAGAAGACTACCTATTACTTTCTTTCTCCTCTTTCCTCTTCCTTATCACTTTTTCAGTTATTTCCTCTTTATATTATGCATTATGCAGGCATTACCAAAGAGGTAAGTTTCAATCCCAGGCAAGCCTAGACCTTTAAGTTCACTAGGGTCCTGTTGTGTATATGTGAGGAAGTTGGGCAAAGTACTTGATACGGAAACTTGAGAGTAACATTTGCACAGCTGAGTCACTTATCCTGGTACTCACAAATCCATATTTAAATTTTCTTAACTTTCACTGGCTATGATTCAAATATCTCTCCTTTCTTAGATTAACTTCTTTGGTGGATACTTTACACATTATCTCATATTTGCATGTTCATTTTTTGTCTGAAATTGCAGAGTTTATTTTTTTCGAGATTTTACGGCTTTAACAATTTAAATGATAGCCTTTCTGTATACAGTAAAATTCCGTTCAATCTCTGATTGGTAACGAACAGTGCCAGAAAGTTCACTTTTCCTTGGCAAATAATAATAATAGCCTTAAGTACAAAAATAAATCACTGATTATAACACAGTCAGGGTAAGAAAATTCTTTAATTGAATTTCTCTGCTGAATTAATGCAAGCACTCAAAGAAAGTCATGATGTCCACATTTTGAAGATCCACCTCAAAAACATTTTAATCAGCATTGACAACAAACACTCTCGTACAAATATTGACTACACACAGTTACTGGAGGTGGTTACATACTCCACAAATTATGTGGAAATGCATTCGAATGCCAGTGGAGACTCCAGAAGCTTTTCCAAAACGTGGATGTATTAGTAGCAGATATATTCCAATGTACAAGGAATAAGCCATGTATATTCCAAAGTAATATACATGAAGATTTCCATGATCACGTACAACATGACAAATCAAAGCAGTAATATTTTTTCTAATAATGTCAGGTCATAGAAATGGAGAGTGCATAAATGTGGGAAGTTTTATTACAGCAGTGCTTCACTCCATGAAAGAGGCTGCTATGACATAAAAATACATCCACATCCACCTCCCAATACAGTCACTCAGCCTCCTACCTAAGTTCACCAGTATATCATCCTCTCCCTGGTTGCCAAGGCAATTCATCTGATTCTTATCACATCTGAGTTGGGTGGAGAACACTGAAGCAAAGCTCATGTCTCTAAGTGATGCTCATGAGTCATCAGGTTGCCAGTTTTGATGTTAATCCAGAGAATTGCCCCAAAAGTTTCTGCCAGGCCCCCTTCACCTCCTTATTCCTCAGACTGTAAATCATGGGGTTCAGCATGGGTGTCAGAATGGCATAGAAAAGAGAGATCAGCTTCTCTTGAAGAACGGAAGGCTCAGAATGGGGCTGGATGTAGGTGAAAATGGCCATGCCGTAGCACAGGGCAACCACTGTGAGGTGGGAAGCACAGGTGTGGAAGGCTTTCTTCCTTCCTTCTGTGGACTGGATCTTTAGGATGGTGGAGATGATCTGGATGTAGGACAAAAGAACCAGGAAAAAAGGAGTCATAAGCAGGACAATGCTGGAGACCATGATGGCAACTTCATTGGCAGAGGTGTCCACACAGGCCAGTCTGACCACTGCTAGAAGTTCACATGATATGTGATCAATAAACTTGTTATTGCACATGGGCAGCTGAAACGTGATGGCAGTCTGCATGAGGGAGTTGATGGATCCACTGACCCAGGATGTGATGGCCAAACTGCTACACAGTCTTCCATGCATGATGGCTGAATATCGCAGAGGGTCACACACAGCCACATAGCGGTCATAAGCCATCACTGCCAGTAGAACAAATTCAATGCCACCCAAGGCCAGGGAGAAAAATAGTTGAGCTGCACAACTCAGAAATGGGATTGCTTTATGTTCTGCAAGAAAATGCACCAGCATCTGAGGGACTATGCTTGTAGCATAAGAGACATCAACAAGGGAGAGATTGGTGAGAAAGAAATACATGGGAGTGTGGAGTTGGCTGTCCAGTCTGATCAGAAGAACAATGAGAAAGTTCCCCAGCACCGTGACCAGGTACATGACCAAGAACAGGGCATAGAGGGAGACTTGAATGTCCCAGTCACTGGATAGGCCGAGGAGAATAAATTCACTCACCCACGTCTGGTTATATGTTCCCATCAAAAAGTGTGAAAATTATTACTCTGCAGAAATAATAAGAAAAATAAAAATTCTAAGAATCATTTTTAATCTGTGCTTTAGACATTTTTTACTGTAAACTTTAGGCACCTTCATCCAGGTACTTCAGATCCTATACATATTTGTCAAGATAATACAACTGATCTCAATATGCAGTATAACTTTTGCATTAGAGATACAATCTAGTGCATTCAGGAAAACACAGTGTGGTGTCAATAAGGTGAAAACATGTAGATATGCACTGTGATTTCAAGAGCTCTGCATGTTTACCAAGATATCTCAGATTCCAGGATAATCAGCAAATTGTATGAAACAATGGCAAGTAAAACGATGAGTATTGAAGGCAATGTGTTGGACAAGTGAATAAGTGCCTTCACTATATTAACTAGAATTAGATCCGTCATGATAAAATGCATGAATATACAGTTAATGGAAATATTTGGAGGAGGAACACCTTGTGGAAAGATCTGAAATCACAGAACCTAATTTCAAATCTGATTTTATTAAGCATCTGCATGATGTTGGTTTAGTGATAAAATATTTTATATAAATATTTTGAGATTAAATAACTCACACATACAAATAAACTTACACTTAGATAACATATGGGAAAAGTACTTTTGAATTGTTATTGGTAATGCTACTATAGTAATAGAGGTGTTGTTGGTAACATGACCTCTGTTTTGGGATAGACAAATAACAAACATGATTTTCTCTGTCTCCCTCCATAAATTCAGACATAAGTAAAACTGGATGACTCTTTTAATATATATGAAGGCTTAAGAATGCCTTGGTCACTTTGAGGATACTAGGGGTCATCGGTCTTTTTGATAACATTTGGTCCTTTTAGCCACTAGGGGATGGAGTAGATGATTGTAAATGTTGCTCTTTTTGATTTTTCTCTCTACAACTTGCTTCTCCTAAGAATCTATTCTATGGGTCTGGCCTCCAAAGAAAAAAAATAAGAAGACAGATGCTTAGCTTGTCCACATAAAAGGGAGGAAGAGAACGTTTAGAACTCATCTTCACTTTCCAAGAGAGAGAATAAGATACATGCATCCATACAGTTTTGTATTCAAATGGAGATTCTCTTTTGCTTATTTTTGTTCAGTAAGTACTTTTTTAAGTAAAATTAATGTGTCATAAAACCAATTTTGGAAATCAAACAGAAGACATTACATTTAAATAATTTGGGAACTCATTGTTCATATCTACTAATTTTCATTTTATTCCACTGTATTAAACAAGGAAATTAGGAGAGAAAGAGGCAGGAGAGATTTAAATATGAGACAGAGGCTCTTAATCAGATGAGGATCTCTGAGATGAAAGGGAGAAAAGTGGTAATGCTTCAGTTCTCTTACCAGATTGAAGGCAAAACAAAACAAGTAAGTAATTCCAGAAATGGTCACCTAATCAAGACTTAGTCACATACAATTTTCATAAACTTCCCCAAAGTCTCCTGAAAATCCGATCTTGCCTTTTAACAGTTCCTCTTTTATTGCTCTACCCTGATATGCCCACCCCACCTCACCCCCAACACATGCACATATTGCTTTTCTACTATTAGGATTGATCTAAAAAAATGAAAGAATAAAATCCATGTGCCTCAAAAGACATTCAGATTTAAATAAAATATTTCATTTTTAGAAAGTATGAACCATTATTGAATACTTATTAGCACATCTGCATCCAAAGTAAACATTCCACTTTCTGTTAATTTGAAACATACATGAAATGTCATCTGTACCAGAAGCTAATATTTTAGGATAGTTATCCTTCCCTGTGCTCAAAGAAATGACATAAAAAGTGGACAAAAAGACACAGGAGAGATTGTTTTCACACCAACTGCTGCTCTGTGCTGGTTGTCTGGAGAAAATACAATTCGGTGACCCACTGCACTCCGCTTCTCCACCCTGCACATCTCTATATCACCACTCTTGTCTCATTAAAAATGAGTGACAGTGTCACATCCTGCAGAAAGAATCAACTTCAGAATCAGTACTCCTCGACTTTGAATCTATATGTTTTCTGTTTCCTGGAGCATGGCACAAGCTGTTTAGTCTCAGGTTTTTGAGCTGAAAAATGTGCATAATATTTGTCAACTGAAAGATTCATTGGTAAATTAAGAGTTGAAAATTAAAGTTTGTCACTTTCAAGATATCAGTATAGGTGATGCCTTCTTGGATAAACCCCCAAACCACAGGCAACAAAATCAAAACTGACAAATGGAAATTATTTCAAACTCAGAAGCTTCTGCACATAAAAGGAAAACAATCAATAGAGTTAAGAGACACTCCATAGAATGAAAAAAAATATTTGCAAGCTACTTATCCAACAAAGCATTCATATTAGAATATATCAGCTATTCAAAAAACTCAACAACAACAACAACAACAACACACCCAGTCCAATTGAGAAATGGGCAAAGGATCTCAACAGACAGTTATCAAAAAAGAAATACACATTGTCAACAGATATATGAGAAATACTCAATATCACCAGCTATCAGGGAAATACAAGTTAAAACCACAATGAGATACCATCCCACCCATGTTGGAAAGCTATTATCCAAAGACAGAACCTAACAAACACTGGTGAAGAAGTGAAAAACGGGGAACGCCTATACACTGCTGGTAGGAATGTAAATTAGAGCAGCTGTTATGGAAATTTTTTTAAAAACTAGAAATAAACTTGCCATCTGGTCCAGCAATCTCATTACTGGATATATACTCCAAAGACTGGGACATGTTATATCAAAGAGATACCTAGGCCACCATGTTTATAGCACCACTGTTCACAATAGCCACAATATGGAATCAACCAAGGTATCCATAGTCACTTGAAAGATAAAGAAAATATGGTGTGTACATATATATATGTGTATATATTAATATATAACATATTATATATTTATACATATATATATATATATATATATATACACCGAATTGTATTTTCTCCAGACAACCAGCACAGAGCAGCAGTTGGTGTGAAAACAATCTCTCCTGTGTCTTTTTGTCCACTTTTTATGTCATTTCTTTGAGCACAGGGAAGGATAACTATCCTAATATATATATATAATATATATGTGTATATATATGTATAATATATATATTAATATATATGCATAATATATATTAATATATGTATATATATATATATACAATGGAATATTCTGCTATAAAAGGAATGAAATTCTACCATTTTCATCAAAATGGACTCAATTGAAGGACATCATGTTGAATGAGATAAGCCAGACACAGAAAGAAAAACACCATGTATTCTCCCTTATATTAGAAAAGAAAAAAAAGTCATAAAAAAAAGAAATGCCTGTGTGTATCATTATAGCTGCAAATAAAGCTTTGTCAAACTATGTTTTATTTATTTGTCAAACCAATGGTTAAGAATGTTATACTATTTGGGCCAGCACTGTGATGTAAACTATCACTCTAATGTTCAAATAACTTTTACTGATGTAATAGTTTATTTACAAAGGCAATTGCCTTGGGTTCAAAATATGTAAATCCAAATATATATTTTGTCCTCACCCTTTTGACTCATGGTAGACAAACTATATATATCATTTGCACTTAGGGAGACATATATTGGCTGGATGAAAATAACACATTATCAATTAATTCCATCTTCTTTTTAGCTTGGGCTTACTTTTCAGCTAAATTAAATGGGATACCTACTCTTATTTCAGAGTAGATGACCTAGGTGCCAGATATTGTATCTAACCACTCTTTGAGGAAGCCAGAGCTTGCTACATTTAGTTCTGACTAATTTGGAGATGTTAAAGCTCTCCACAAACTTTTGGTTTGCATCAAGGTCAAATAACTAAAGGAAAGTGCTGAGAATAATTGCTCTATTTTTCTGTGTGAAAGAGACAACAAAAATCTTTTAGTACAGTATTAAATGTGCAGTTGATGTTCAAAGCCAGTATTGAATAATGAGTACAGTTCAGAATCAGTTCCATTTAAATCTCGACAAGTTTTCACTTTTTTCACTTTTTTACTAGTGTCTGTTAGGTTCTGCCTTTTGGATAATAGCTATCCTGACATGGGTGGGATGGTATCTCATTGTGGTTTTAACTTGTATTTCCCTGATATCTGGTGATATTATTTCTCAGTATTTGTCCACTCTAGCTACTTTACCTCTTTGCCAGTCACCTCATGCTCTTTTAATCAACAATAAAACTCTATTTTGCATTCTTTGGGTCCTATAATCCTCCTGCTCAACAAACCTCAAACCATACCTCTCTGTATACATTTTGAAATATCTTAGTCTATTCAAAAGTACACAATTTACGCTGCCTGCTCAGAGCACAGTATCAGAGAATGCCATAGCTCTGTGGTTTGCCTCTTTAGGAAAAAAAAAAAAAAAAAAAAAAAAAAAAAACTAAAATGGGAGGACTTCCTCCCTCCTGTTTTATGAGTTGTAATAAATGTAGGGTAATTACTATGACCTTAACAACTGAAATACAAATTATATATAATAAGACAGGTGTCATTCAAATATGTCATGAAACATTACGTCCTTAAAGTCCTATCATTAATGACTGAATTCACTATGTTTCTGTGAGCATTGTCCTTTCTGTGAAGTTTAAAATATTGTCTTTATTTTAAGGGACAGATTTAGTTAATTAACATATGCATTACCACACATACTTATCTTTCTTTTCTGGTGTGAACACTTAAAATATACAAAATACATATACGATTTTATTTGTCAATAAGATAAAAAAGAAAAAATGTGTATTACCTTTGTTATTCCCCAGTTAAAACTACCGCTCTGTGTCTTCTCTTGCTTATCCAATATAATGATTAGTTACAGCATTCATCAAGACTAAAATGTTCTTCTCTGCATGACAAAGAAATAAAGACAAAAAAAATAAGTGTTCAGATTCTTCATGAAATTCATTACACATGGCAAAAACAATCTAATTTAAAAGTTAAATTTCAATCAACCATGACTTTTGCATTTAAATAGACCAAATCTTTTCATTGAATCCATGGAAACTATTATATTTCCTTTATTGTAAAATTTGAGTCTAGATTTTAACAAATGAAATGCTATTTCTAGTCTGTTCTTCCTTGATAAATTCACTCCTATTCTTTTCCTTATCATTTCACTATCCTACTACACAGTAACATCTTCAGCTTAAAATATATGAAGTAAAAATTTCTTAAATTATCTCAATTGATATATGACTCAGACTACCCTTTATCTGGAAGGAGTAAATAAAATGTGGCTTGAAATATCCTTGATTCTGTTCTCCTGAGTCAGATTTCCAACCATTCATCTGTGAGCCTAATAGCTCATGCCGTTCTCTGTTCTAATAAAAATGATGAGACCTTGAAGGAACCATAGCAGCTGTTTATCAAGAAAAGATAAGAAATCTGACATTTCCATATCAGGGCCTGCCCTTGCCTTTTCCTCTCTCTATTTTAAAAGGAGAACAAGGGAAGTCAAGATCTTAAGTCAAATTAAACACATCTCTTGGTAAATTCTCAGGGAGAGATTTTTGGTTATATTTGTTGTAAATATACAGTATTTTTTAATCATGGAAATCAAGCATCCCCCAACTTGGTTTTTATAATTTATTTAAACTCCAAACATGTATCCTCCATATAGAAGTTCCATCTAAGCCAAGCTCCCTACATCTCTGCAGAAATCCTGAGAGGAAAGGGTATTAACAATATGACTTCCAACATGAGCTACCCTTCTGCCTGTCACCACACTCTCCGCCTGTTCTTCCTCTAATAGAAAAGTTCTGTGACCTTGAAGGAACTCTGAGCAACTGTTCATCAAGAAAGAGGCACGACATACGATCCTTAGGTAAATCAACAAAACTCAACAGGCCCTTTCACTGTGTTGGTTCCATGCAGACAGGATCACTACTGGCAGTTATTTAAAAATATGTACATTATGATGTTCACATTTTTTTTTCTCAGTTTTAATTTCATTTAGTTTCCCTTGCTACTCTTTGAACAACATTCTAAAATACTCACATTACCTTTGCAAGAAAGCAAGTGTCCAGGGCTTAACACTGAGGTCATTTTTCCATTCGCAACATTCAGTGCCACATTCTGTAATATTATCCCCGTGAGTGTATTATAAAGTTAAAACTTCCTGACAACATAGTGTATTTCTATTCACTAGCTGCTTTAGAAAGGGGATCTTCTCCTTTACCTCCACATTAGGACAAGAACATACTGATTTGGAAACACTGAGAAAGAATGCATACTATAAAACAATGCCTCAGAGTTTCATCGTTAGGCATATCTTCAGAAGAATAATGTCTGCAACTATGCATTCAATTTTAAAAAGACCATGGTTGGATAAAACTTTGGAACAACATTGAAAATCTAATCTAAAATATAGGTGGGCTTAGTGGTGAGCACATTACCAACATTATCTTTCATTCATTACATTAATGATTTCTTACAACTAAAGCACAGAAATTGTTTTGTGAATCATCTTTTTAAAACACTGCATTGAGTCTTAATCATATTTGTCCTGCTAGAGTCCTCCACAATCTCAGCTGAGGCAAAGAGTGCTAAATACAGAAGCAGAGCCCACGAAGGTAAATCCCACCATCTTCAGACATTTTTCTTGCTGGTGAAAAATAATTAAGAACCATACTTTTACAGAGATGATGAGTAAACAGAAACGACATTTCCATTTTAAAAATGGTTCATTTGCGCTGCAGTTGTAGGCTGGGTTGTGGCACGTTGACTGCATCCATCTTCTGATCAGGAATGTTTTCGACATCCTGGCATTTGAACACAGATAGCACCATTGTCAGTGGGTGGGTGGCACCTCCCTGATGGTTTTAGACTCTGAGAAGACAATTAGTTTTTCTTCTTTGGAGTCCTGTTATCTACTTTAGTTGTCTTTACTTTTCACATAATCTGAGTATAATTCTGAGAATCAATTTCTCAAACAAACGAAAACCTAAAATTCACTTTGAGTGATATATTTTATATGATTTCATTCTGCCAGTGCTCACCTTTGTATCTCTTTTGTCAACTGTATCTCATAAGGATTCCTTTAAAGTATCATTCCCTTATTCTGGAAAATATCTAGAGTGTACTACCTATAGCTTATTCTAGTGTGAACCAGCCCTGGAATGAGACTCAGGAGGCCTCAATTCTAGCCCAGGCCATAATCTCTGAGTCACAGGACTTGGATCAATCTATTTAAACATTTTATATTTCAGATTTCTAACATTAAGGCAATAATCAAAATACTTTATATATGTGTTCTTAGAAAAACAATTAAGAGACTTCAAAGCATTGAAAATTCAATTTTTTCTGAAAATGGAATAAACTACAAATTCATGAATATTAAGTAATACCTAAATAAAAGTTTCATACATCTGGTATTCCTCTCTAAATGTCTTTCCTGAAAATGATGAATAATTCTTCCATAATTTCTCCAATTTTATTTAAAATCTTTCTCTTTTATTAATCTCCCTCCCTTCCTCCCCCCTCCTTTTTTTCCCTCCCTCCCTCTCTCTCCCTCTCTCCCTTTCTCTCCCTCTCTTTCCCTCTTTCTCTCTCTTTCCTCATCCATAGTGCTCTCTGTCTCTCCACCAGCATGAAATGGGTCTACCTTCCCAGCTTCTAAAATCAAAATTATTTTCCCATATCAGTTATAATACTTAGGTAAGAAGATTTTACCATTCATAGTTCTTTCAAAGTCCCTAACAAATTAGATCAGTACTCTTTCTAGCACTCTATAAATCTCGGTTTATATCCATCCCCTGCAAGCATCTCTATTAAGATTTCTCAAATATTAATCAGAATATGACAAAGTGGATTACTTCAGCCCAGGATTAAGTTGGCTTCTAAAATGTAGCCTTCCCCCACAAAAAAGTGCTGTGAAACAGAATTTAATAATCCCAGACTTCTAGGCTTTGTGGCTCAGAAATAAATCTCATGGGACTAGCTTAGTTTATGAGAGGAACTACTGGGAGGAAATTCATTGTTCCCCTATGTTGGCTCATCTTCAGACCTAACAAGTATGGCAGGGGCTAAATTAGCAAGGAAGGGATGACTGATTCCCCTCTGGAGATTCATGCATTGGAGTGTTAATTGCTGTCATCTCCCCCACATCTCCAGGGCAGGGTCTCCATTCTGTCCTTCCTTTCCCTGTGGAAGGCATTCTTCTAAATCTTTCTCCCACCTAACAGTATCACGGAAGTCTTGGGTCATTCTGAAACTTTGTAGAAGCCAGCTTTCTGGGAATGCAAGATGTTCTATAGTGCAAATCTGACTTTTTCCTTCATGCCCCTATTGCCAGTGGATGGACTTGCATTCACACCTGGTGAACCAAATCAATTCTCATCTTTGGTGCTAGGATGCTCTGACCTCTTCCTCTCTACAGAGGAGAGTTATGCTTCAAACCTAAAAATTATATGTTCAAAGAGTATCTCTGAGCATTACCTGTGTTGATGGACATCCAAGTATATTTTCTTGGTGTTATTTAAATTCCAAAAATAATCACATGTTATTTTAAAATTTTAGTTGACTTAAGACTTAAAACAATGTGTATATTTAAAAAGCCATAAAATTTACAGTGGAAAGAAGGGGAAAATGAAATGGTCACCCAAAATTCTTAAAACAGAATGTTTAACTTTTCTGTACTTCTTTGAATTTTTAATATTTGTGAGGAAATTCAATATCATCTCAAAAGAATACAATCATGTTACCGTTCTATGATTTATTCTTTATGTCTCATGTATTTTTAAGTGCATGTATCTATTAATTATTCATAAACAAAATCAACTACTCAGTAATTCCTCAGCACTGGCATCTACCTGTATGTTCTTTTATCCAACTATCTATTATTAACTCAGTAATCACTAATTGGTTTGCTCATTTGCTTATCCTCCCACTAATGTATTGTATTATTCACATGCCAACTCATTTATTTCGCTAACTTTTTATGCACACCCAATGTATCATACATCTGCCTATCCTTTAATGCATCCCACTATGTTGCCATGGTTTCTGATTTTAGAGCACTGGATTATTTTGAGAAAGGTTTTGTGATATTCCAGACAATGCAAAGAGAAAATAGAGATCAGAGATCCTTCCCATTCTTTCCTCCAACTTCTAAACTTCCATAGAATTTGAAGAATTGATTGGATATTTTCTCCAAGGCATGTTGGAATAATTTCTTGGCTGTGAGGGCACAGGGGCACAGCATCCAGAAGTTCACATTGTTGCTGTTTTTCTCCATCTGTGTATAGACATCAAATGTAAACTCCAAAATTCCAAGATTTCAATCCAAAAAAGTTGAAATCATAGAAACATAAAGCAGAATGATGGTTACAAAAAGCTGGGCAATTAATGGAGGATTGGGCAAGGGGGAGATGATAGTTAAGGGGTACAAAGTTTCAGTTAGACCAGTAACATAGGTTTTAGTGATGTATTGCACAGTATGTTGACCACAGTTACTAATAATATATATTTCAAACTTAGTAAAATGCTAGGCATTAAACATTCTCCCCTCAAAAAGAATGAGTAAATCAAATGATGAATGTTAATTAGTTTGATTTAATATTTCTACATTGTATACATCTATCAAAACTTTACATTATACCCCATAAATGTATAATTATTATTTATTGGTTATTATTTTTTAAATAATACTATATGCCAGTCATTCAGATTGGAAAAATTTCTTCTCATTCAAATGCTGTCATTCAGCATATTTGTATCAACTATTTTGGAAACTTAACTGCATAGATCCTTCCTTTCCATTTTTAATAGTTCAGGTCTTTAATTTTAGCATGTTTTTGCCCAAGAGACAAGTAACTCAGTACTTTTCAAATATGACATGTTTCCTTCAATCCAGATTTACCAAATTTGAACATATGTATCCAGAATCCAGAAAACTTTTTTTAAAGATTTTATTTATTTATTTATTTGACAGGTAGAGTTACAGACAGTGAGAGGACAGAGAGAAAGGTATTCCTTCCATTGGTTCACCCCCCAAATAAACGCAACAGTTGGAGCTACACTGATTTGAAGCAGGAGCCAGGTGCTTCTTCCTGGTCTCCCATGCGGGTTCAGGGGCCCAAGCAATTGGGCCATCTTCTGCTACTTTCCCAGGCCACAGCAGAGAGCTGGACTGGAAGAGGAGCTACCAGGACTAGAATCGGCGCCCATATGGGATGCCAGCACCGCAGGCAGAGGAATAACCTAGTGCACCAACGCGCTGGCCCCAGAAAACTTTGTTTTAAAGAAATGTTCAAGTGATCTTTATGAAATAAAATTTGAGAACTCCTGGAACACAGTCACATTCACCTTTCAGTGTACTTTTTTGCAACATTATCCAACTTACAAATATTATAGCAAAAGTCTTCAATGACTTTAATACCAAATCTTAACTAAAGATCTTCAGAATCAACCACAATCTAAGATTTTCCCCATTTCTCTCCCAAATGAGAATCCACATCCCATAATCCTTGCTGTTTTCCAAACAAGAAATTCTGTCTTCTACACAGGTAGGTCACTTCATAGTCATCTACCTAGAAATTGAGATAGCTCCTTCAAGGAAAATATGTGGAAGACAAGCTAATATTTACCAGCAATTCATATCCTTGGTCTTACAAATATGAGTTAAATATAAAAAATTACTCCTGCTAAGAATTATACATATAATTTGAGTTAGCAACTTCTGGATAAGTAAAGAATTATTTTCTCTTTTTTAAATATTTATTTATTTAATTGAAAGTCAGAGTTACACAGAGAGGAGAGGCAGAGAGAGAGAGAGGTCTTCCATCTGCTAGTTCACTCCCCAATTAGCCGCAGTGGCTGGAGCTATGCCCATCTGAAGCCAGGAGCCAGGAGCTTCTTCTGGGTCTCCCACGTGGGTGCAGGGACCCAAGGACTTGGGCCATCTTCTACCTTCTTCGCAGGTCATAGCAGAGAACTGGATTGGAAGTGGAGCAGCCGAGTCTTGAACTGGCACCCATATGGGATGCCAGCACTTTAGGCCAGGGTATTAACCCACTGTGCCATGTGGCCCTGTAAAGCATTATTTTCTGTTGTTACAGCTTACTTAGTTGAAAATTAGCACATATTTCTGCATTTACAAGCTTCTTCAAAAAAGTTCATGGAAAATGCATATATGAAAATAACTATGCATGAATTTCAAAATATTTTTACACCAAAAGAAATTTGTACTAACTTGTTATAATATTAAATAGAATTTATTCTAAGGCATTAGGAATGATAATATATTAGTTTGAAAAAATTTCTATCAGAGCAATATGAATTTTGATAAAATAGAAACAATAATCAAATTGATGGTGAAGCTTGGACAGAAGAATGGTGACATCATCAATGCTTTATGAAAAGTTTATGAGAGCAATGCCCTCAAAGAATTCATCATTTTGGGATAGTTAAGTCATTGAAAGAAGAGTTGAGACAATATTAAAGTTGAATCCTGCAGTGGCAGACCACCCACATCAATTTGGAAGAAAAATGAATTGAAGAGGACCAATAATTAACAGCAGAAATAATAGCCAATATAATACACATATCAATTTGCTCATCTTGCACAATTATGATCAAAAAATTATTAAACAAATTTTCTGCTCAAGGAGTACCAAAAGATTTTAACCCAGACCAGCTACAGACAATAGCAGAGCTTTTGATGGAACTTTAAACAAATGAGATCAAGATCCTGAAGCAACTCCTCAAAGAATTGGAACAGAAGATGAAAACTGGCTTTGCCAGGAGTCCATTTGATTCTGAAAGACAAAGTACAATCAAAGCAATGCTACCAAGAAGTAGAAGTGGTACAGTAAAAGTGGACCCAGTCAAAATCAAACAACTTTCTAGGATGCTCAAGGCAGTTTGCTTGTTAACTTTCTGAAGGTACAAAGAATGATAACATCTGCTTATTATGAGAATTAGCCAGAGGGTTAGTAGAAAAATCCCCAGGTAAGCTTCACTAGAGTATTTCCCCCACTGTGGTAATGGTCCTGCTCATTCTTATAAAACAAGGGTGATTTTGCCAGAGTTTTGATGGGAAAGCATTAGACCTCCATCTTACGCTCTTGATTTTGTTTTTTAATGTTAAAAAGAAGAGTAGCTAAAGGACATCCACTATTCTTCAGCTAATAATGTGAGAAAGACTACAATTACATGGTTAAATTCCAAAGACCCTCAGTTCTTTAAAAATAAACTAAATAGTGTTTTAACTTGATGGAGTTTATGTTGAGAAATTGTTTTAAATTTTTTCTTTGGGGCCCTGCGCCTTGGCTCACTTGGCTAATACTCTGCCTGTGGCACTGTCATCCCATATGGGCACCAGGTTCTAGTCCCGGCTGCTCCTCTTCCAGTCCAGCTCTCTGCTGTGGCCCAGGAGAGCAGTGGCGGATGGCCCAAGTGCTTGGACCTCTGTACCCGCATGGAAGACCAGGAGGAAGTACCTGGCTCCTGGCTTCGGATGGGCGCAGCGCCGGCCACAGCGGCCATTTGGGGGGTAAACCAATGGAAGGAAGACCTTTCTCTCTGTCTCTCTCTCTCTCACTGTCTGTAACTCTACCTGTCAAATAAATAAATAAATAATCTTAAAAAATTTTTCTTTAAGCCCATTTTTTCTATGAACCTTCCACAGTCCCTTCACAAAGAACCTTCACTTTTATTCCTGATGAGTCATCTGTAGACCATATTTTGACTAATTTTGTTCTTTGATCATTTTTCTTACCATTTTATGGGGAATGTGTTCATGTTTGTCAATTTCTCCATTATTTGACAATTCATAGAATATTCAGACAAGATTAAGACATGTTAGAGGTTGAATAGAATTCATATGGGAATTTCAATCTAGGTAATTGTGTTCTCCTGAAATCTATTTTTAGGTGATTTGGCGTGACTTTACATTTAGCCCTTCCATTACAAATATTTTAATTCAGATTCCGGTAATGTCTCAATAGAATTACTGGAACAATTCACTAGCTTTACTCTTTTATTCTACTATTTTCTACTTCTCTCCTGTTTGTCAGTTTTATTTCAAAATTTTCAAGCTGCACTTTTATTAAAAACTCACTACTAGCTCCCTGTTATCACAATAGCTAAAAAATAAAGTGGTATTCAATTTCTTTCCTCATATGATCCCTATATATACATTGGCTCCCTTCTCATTTTTTTCTTATTCCTCTGCCATGCAAGCATGGCTTCTGTATATTTTTGGATTCCAGTATTCTCTGCCACCTCTGTATTGTGGCACTGGTTTTAACTCTGCTCAGATTGTTTGTCATCTGGGTAATTTGTTCTCACTTTTCTTGTCCTCAAATGGACATTTTCTGCTCCCTTCATACAAGACTTCTGCAATAACTCTATATGCACTTTTTCTATCTGAAATATTTACGGCATTGCTTTATAGTTGATTTGTCATCCATTATATACTTGCTACACAACTATGTCCTTAATTGTCAGGATTGTATCACATTAACTATCGAGTTTCCAGAACACTTATTATCATTGACATGCAGTAGACACTCCATTGATACTGCTTGAATTAACACCAACAAAAATTAATCTGCTAGCCTTTCTTGCAAAATTTAGGACAGGAGTGCTTTTAAGATAAAATTCAATTATTAAATGGGCTTTGAAATATGTGAATTTTCATCTCTGTATGAGCCCTGAGGTTCTGTTTATCAGGTTTCTGCCCAAACCTGGTTATCATGGCATATGGGGAATGAACCAGCAGATAGAAGATTCTCGCTCTCTGTCTCTCTCTCTCTCTATTTCTGTTGCTCTGCCTTTCAAATAAGAAAAGAAGTTTAAATATTGTTGAATGAACAAATTAAGCACAAGCTGCAGCTATCTTCATACATATGTATTTTATTTTAATGACCCAACATAATTATACATATTAACAAGGCATGGTGTGACTTTGTGTATATATATATATGTATATACACATTCACATATATAATATATGATATATAATATATACGATCAATTCAGGGTAACTGGCATATCACTTCACATATTTATCATTTCTATATGTTGAAATGTTGAAAACATTCAGAGTATTCTCTATTAGTTATTTTTAAATCTTTAATTAATCATTGTCAACATAGTGATCCCACTATGCCATCGAATGTTAAAAATTATTCCTCCTACCCAACTGCACCTGCATCCCTAAACCCATTAATCATCCTCTCCATTCTCCCTCTCTCATACCCTTGCCAGGCTCTCATAACCACTATTCTATTCTCTACTTATTCGAAATAGACTTTTTAGCTTCCACATACTTGCAGTATTTGTCTTTCCATGCCTGACTTCTTTCACTTCATATGGTATCCGTCTATGATGTTTGGCTATGCTTTTAAAATAAAAATTTAAAAGAAAGAAACCAATGTTTAATCATGTTAAGAGTAGCTTACTTTGGATCTTATAATGAGGGGAGATTTAGCATTCTGTTTAAATTCTTAATGAGAAAATGTAACATTGGGTCTTACTTTTGTTTGTTCCTTTGTTTTCCCTGTAGTCACCATTAGTCTTTGAAATATAAAGGCGTCAATTCGCCCTCAAACCCAGCACCCCGAGCTGAGCCCTCCACTTGCACTAAGGTGAGAGAATGTCCATGGAGCAGAGAGAACCACGAGGATGACTCGGGAAGCTGTTTTGTGGCTTTCTGACACCTACAGTCTCTTGAAAGCGTCTCTGAACTGCTTGCTGCCTTCTGCTCCTGCAATCTTCTTGCATAACATCTGAAAGCTCCTTGAAAGAACAGATTTGGGTTGTTGCTGCTGTTAGCTATTTTGCCCAGAGGGAATATTTTCTCTTAGCCCCACCTACTGAAACAGAGAAGATGCTGTGTGAGCAAGAGAGGGCATGAATTCCTAATCCCATCCCAAATCCCAGGCCCATGACTGTTTCTTTCCATTCCTAGAAGGCAGCTCAGTTAAAATTGTATTTGTTCAAGTACTTATTTTAGTGCAAAACAACCTCCTCTCTTCTTTGTACTTTTTCACCTGGAAGCCCCTTGATGAAATTTTGCAAAAGCCTGTTGCAACTAGCAACTTCGAACTGTGCAGAATGTCTCCGATAGTATTTCAGGGGAATGGCTGTGTCTGAATCAATGCTCAAGACAGAACTTGATCTAAAAAAGAGAGGAAGAAAGAAAGGGAGGGAGGGAGGGAGGGAGGGATGAAGGAAAAGAAGAGAGCACACTGCTAGTAAAATGGCCCGGTCTTATCTATGGCGCCATCTATGCCCCACACCATCCTAGGCTCCACCCCCACCCTAATGGAATTTGCTGCTCCTACTTCCCTGCCCCCACCCAAAGATTTAGCAGGACCTGTTCCTGAACACAGGGCTCTCTCTATCTCTCTCTCTCTCTGTCTCTCCTTTCTCCTCTCTCTCGATCTCTCTCTCTCTGTCTCTCTCTCCTTTCTCCTCTCTCTCGCTCTCTTTTATGCCCTCCTTCTCCCTCTTTTCCTTCTTCACCCCTTCCCTCCAGTCTGTCAGGTTTCCCCACCAATAAACCCTTTACCCTTACTCCAGTGTTCAGTATGTTTTGTGGTGGCCTTACACACACGTCAGTAAGACCCAAAAATTCTAAATTGTTTGTTATTTCTTTTTACACATCTATGATTTCCCAAAGAGTAGAAACCCAAAATCTGTATCTGTAACCTTACTGTAGAAGGAGAACTTCCACAGTAGCCCCCATCCCTCTGGCTTCCAGTCAAGTCCAGACGACTTTATGAACTATAATTCTCCTCTCAGGCCCTTTCTCTATTTTTATTTTTTCAAAAGGCAGAGAGACAAATACGCAGGCTGGAGCCTGAGCTGGGAGCTGTAAATTCAATTCAGATCTCCCACGTGAATGGAAGGGAGCTAACTACTTGCACCATCACCTGCTGCTTCCTGAGGTTTATACTGACAAGAAGCTGGAGTCAGGAGATTGGTAGGGGACCCAGGCACTTCAGTATCGGACATGGGCATCCCAAGAGACGTCGTAAGTGCTGTGTCACATGATCCCCCTCTCTGCTTTTTAAACCTCTAGGCTGCCAGTCTGCTCATCACTTCTCAGAAGATGAATCTCAATCTAAGTACATTCTGAGTTGCAAGAGTAGCACAAAAGAGGAATTTTTTTCTTCTAAGAGTCTCTGGAATCTGGGAAGTTTAACAGGATATAATGCTGAGATAATAGATGGAAGCTTTCACAATGGGTGTATGGCTGGAGCTGTGTAGACCTGTGTGCCACAGGAAGGTGCTTCTATAGGTTAGAGGCTGGGAACCCAAAGTGGGAGCTATTTTCTGGTCCTTGTGTGTTTTTTTTTCTGTCTCAATCCCATGTTCCTCGTCTATTCCTTTTATCTTGTGCTCCCTCCTTATTTCTGCCCCATGAATGTGGAATTACCAAGAAAATAAAGGATTGTTCATTTAATGAATTATCCAAGCTCACTCCCTTCAGCTTGCTCTCCCTGCCTACCTTTGGGGCTGAGTGTGCTCACCCACGGATTCCCTGCATTGGGGATACAGGAAGTGGCAATGATCCTCCACCCAGCACTCACTGTTGGCACACAGACCTGAGTGCAGGCTCCATCCCTGAGGCAGTCTGAGAAGGACACAACTCTTCCTCTCAGGCCTGCATTTCCCATTACCTTCTCCCAACCCTTCCTTCAGCTTCAACTCCTCTCCCACCTCCTTTTGAAAATCAAAATTATATTTTACATTTCATTTCCCAACAACCTAATATCTAGACAAATAATTATATATATATATATGCAGATAGATATGGGGTGTCTGTGCATATTTTTGTTTTCACACAGAGTAGAAGGCTTTCTGGCTAGTCTGCCACAGAAAGGATCATATTAGCTTGAAGAAATAAACTTCCTGCACATTAATGTGTACAATAAAAGTGAGATGTTGGAAACCAATGATGTCATGTTCCTAATATAAATTAGAGGTAAGTGATAGTCCCTATCAAAATAAAAGGTAGAGAAATATTCCAAAGATTAAATTAAAGGCTAATATGATACAAACATTGTATAAATACAAATAAGCCCACATGTATGGCTTAGTGATGCCATTGCCAACACATTTGGAAAAAGTGAGTTTGTGGGGCTGCATGATTAGTTATGATAAATTCAGATAGGCTAGAGGACTGACTATATTATCAGAGAGAGAAATGAGAAACTTTGCTACAGAAACGACACCTCAGCCACCTGCCAGGCACAACTTAAACAACCAGAGCATGAACATCATTAGTACTCAGATAAGTAGAGATCATGTGACATCCAGTGTCATTTCTGTGGTATTCTGACCAAAAGACATAAACTGAAACTAATCAAGGGGTGCATCAGGAAAACCAAAATTGAATATATATAAAACAACAGGCCTGTGGTCTTGTTCAAAAGTGCTGATATTACAAGTTTAAGAAAGACTGAGCAGGCCGGCGCCTCGGCTCACTTGGCTAATCCTCCACCTGTGGTGCCGGCACCCTGGGTTCTTGTCCCGGTTGGGGTGCCGGATTCTGTCCCAGCTGCTCCTCTTCCAGTCCTGCTCTCTGCTGTGGCCCAGGAAGGCGGTGGAAGATGGCCCAAGTCCTTGGGCTCTGCACCCACATGGGAGACCAGGGGGAGGCACCTGGCTCCTGGCTTTGGATTGACACGGCGCGCCTGCTGTGGAGGCCATTTGGGGGGTGAACCAACGGAAGGAAGACCTTTCTCTCTGACTAACTCTGCCTGTCCAAAAAAAAAAAAAAAAAAAGGAAAGGAAGGAAGGAAGGAAGAAAGACTGAGCAATTATTCCAAGCTGAAGACTAAGGAGATGTGACAACCAAATGTGTGATGTGACTCTAGACATGTCCATATTTGCTATAAATGCCATTACTGGGGAAACTGGAAAATTCAAATGGTGACTGAAGATTACATTGTAATGATAAATCAATGGCAGGTTTTCTGTGATGGTTGTATGGTGCTTTTATAGAACAATCTGCTTAGTATTTTCAGGTGATTGAGGAATGATTTTAGCAAATTACTCTTAGTTAGGAAAAGAATACTCTCTGTACTTTGAACTCCTCTAGAGGTTCAACAATTTGAATGTTAATTTCATCTCCATTGTGCCATTTTAAATAATTCTTTGTCCTCTATACTCTTAATTATGGTAGTTGATTTTCTCCACTTTTTAAGTATTCAAAACTCAGGGCCAGTGTAGTGATATAACTGGTTAAGCCATTGCCTGCATGCTGGCATCATATGGGCACTGGTTCAAATCTCAGCTGCTCCACTTCTGATCCAGCTCCTTGCTAAAGTGCCTGGGAAAACAGTAGAAGATGCCCAATACTCGGGCCCCTGTACCCACGTGGGAGACCCTGATGAAGCTCCTGGCTCCTGGTTTCTGCCTGGTGCAGCCCTAGCTGTCGCTGCCATTTGGGGAGTGAATCAGCAGATAGAGGATTTCTCTCTCTCTCTCTCTCTCTCTCCCCCCCCCATTTCCCCCCACTCCCTCCATCTCTCTCTTTCTCCCTCTCACTCTGCCTTTCAAATAAAGAAGTAAATCTTTAAAAAAAATAAAGTATTCAAAACTAGAATGTTCCATATAATAAACATCCAAATAGCATGCTGAGTTTTAGGCAGATGAGTAAACTGTTACAGACTCTTTGTTTCCTGAGCATGTTTGAATTTACACAGAAAGGTGATCTTTAATCATCTTGTCATCTTGATTGAGTTGCCCACAAAAACTCTAACATAACCAGTTGAATTTTAAATTTAATTCGGAAGTCTAATTATCACTAAATTGCCTTTATACATATTGCTGTTAGAGTCAATTTTGAATAAGTATATTAATTTAAATTTGTATTGAATTTCCAAATTAATATGTATTTGTCAGCTCTTTCTCCATATACAATATACTTGAGACAGGCAAAATTTGAAAGGGAGAGAGGTTTATTTGGCTCACAGCTCTGGGGATTTGCAGTCCAAGATTAGGCAGAGAGTATGCATATCTGTCCATATCTATCAGTCTGTTATCTCTCCCCCCCTTCTCTCTCCCTTTGAAGCCACCCAGATTAGATCATGGAGACTCCTCCCCAATGACATGATCTTTCTAAAGCACCCCCCTCTAGACACCACAATTGGACTGAATTTCCACCCTCTTAGTACCTATATTTATTTATTTATTTTAAAGATTTATTTATTTATTTGAAAGGCAGAGTTACACAGAGGCAGGGGCCGAGAGAAACAGGTCTTCCATCTGCTGGTTCACTTCCCAGATGACTGCAACAGCAGGAGCTGGGAAGATCCGAAGACAGGAGCCATGAGCTTCTTCATTTCCAGGTCTCCCGCATAGGGGTCCAAGGACTTGGGCCATCTTCTACTGTTTTCCCAGGTTATAGCAGAGAGCTGGATAGGAAGTGGAGCAGCTGAGACTCCAACTGGCACCCATATGGGATGCTAGCACTGCAAGTGACAGCTTTACCCACTGTGCCACAGTACCCCCTCTCCTCCCCCACTTAGTACCTTTAAAGTAAAACTTTGGGGGCTGTACTTCTGCATGAATTTAGGGAGATGAATATTCCATCTAGAGCAAATACAAATTCCAGATAAAGAGGTTTTTTATGTAAGGAATTGGCTTATGTAATTATAGAAGCTGGCCAAGTCTGAAGACCTGCAGGATGAGTGAGCAACAGGAAGATCCAAGAGAGACAATGGCTTAGTTCCTGTAAGAGTCCAAAGGCCTAAGTAACAAGAGAGATGATCCGGATAGCTCCAGTCTGCAGGCCTGCAGGCTTGAGACCCAGAAAGAGACAAGGTTTCTGTTCAAAGGCAACAAAAAAGCCAATTCCTGGCTTGAAGGCAGTTGAACAAGGACTCTCTCTTACTACAGGATGGTCAGCATTTCTGTTCCATTCAGGCCTTCATTTAGGAGGGCAGTTTGCTTTCATCCAAAACCACCCCCAGAGAAACACCCGGAACAATGCTTGATCACGTATCTGAGCACCATATGACCCAGATATGTAGGTACATAAAATTAACCACCACGGTTATGTAGCAGATAGAGCCAACCCTTAGGAAGTGTACTAGCATCCTCACTTGCATCACTGACACAGGTAGCTCTGAACGCAGAATACCAGTACACTGGTGCTTACTGAGACAGTGCTCATTCATAGCCTGCGACCCTTTCTTTTTTTTTATTTAATTTTATTTATTTATTTTTTTTTTTTTGACAGGCAGAGTGGACAGTGAGAGAGAGAGAGACAGAGAGAAAGGTCTTCCTTTGCTGTTGGTTCACCCTCCAATGGCCGCCGTGGCCATGCGCTGTGGCTGGCACACTGCGCTGACTCGAAGCCAGGAGCCAGGTGCTTCTCCTGGTCTCCCATGGGGTGCAGGGCCCAAGGACTTGGGCCATCCTCCACTGCACTCCCTGGCCACAGCAGAGAGCTGGCCTGGAAGAGGGGCAACTGGGACAGAATCCGGCGCCCCAACCGGGACTAGAACCTGGTGTGCCGTCACCGCTGGGCAGAGGATTAGCCTATTGAGCCGGGGCGCCAGCCAACCCTCTTTTTTAATATCAGGGGACAGTCACTAAATTCACAATGTCAGAACTAAGTAACGGGCTCCCCTATGCCCCCTCTTACAATCGAAGACTGGAGAATGAAGCTCCCACTAAGGAGGACTCCTCTAATATTAAAGACCTAGAGAAGCCACATGGCACCCATCCTTTAAACTTTTCTCTTAGGGTATTTCCAAAGGCCTATCAGATCTTATTAAGACTCTGCTCTGCATTCACTTTTCAACTCAAGTTGCACTGCTACAGCAATTAACTTTTACCCACCCTAGGGACTCTCAAGCAGTGAAAGGGAAAGGTTGGGAAACTTTTAGAATATGGTTACCAATCCAAATGCCCACAAAGGTCAGGCAGCATTGAACATGAGCAAAGTGGGCCTGGTGTGGATGTTCGGAAGTGATGGGGGATGTGCCAAACAGAAAACTCATTTAAAGGAGCCTTAGC